CTTTAGTGTTATAAAGAGAAAGTTCCCAATAGATCAGTGCATTTTCTCTTTGTACCTAGCTGTTTGCCATTTGTGTATTACTGCGGGAATTTTTTAAAGCACATTAAAGTTTAATTTTAGAAGTATTAGCAGTACTAGTAGAGACCCAATTTTCACAACTATTGTCCTTCATATGGTTATGGCTGATCTTGAAGCCTACGGATTAATAGGTTGAAGTTAAAGGTCAGGTTTAGGACTTAGTTGCAGCATATGGTTAAGGTTTAGGGGTTACACTGAGGTTTAGAGTTAGAGTCTGCAGAGATAAGTCACTGACCTGGAACAAGTCACTGACCTGGAACAAGAGTGCAGCAAGTGAAGCCAGAACACTTGACCAGCATACTTATTTCTGGTTAGTGTGACTCTGCAAGAAAACCATTGGTTGAGCGTAGCAGCCAGACAGCTTATTCTCAGGAGCGGAAGCCCACATATTTCTTTCAGCACCGGTTTCTATTTAGTGTAACTCATGTTTGGGAATAAGACTGTCCTCCAGGAGTTACAAATGTTTAGAAATGTCCCAAGTTTTCAAAGTGCAGAGAGGAAGATTGAGGAAGACTCTTATTACATAGAGAGGCACAATAAGCCTGGCCAAATACTTCTCAGGTTGTTAGACTGATGCAACCAGGATGGTGCTTGCAGTGACCACAGCAGAAAATCCAGATCTTAAAATAAGAAGTACCCAGCAGTCCATGCTGGAGTGCTGGTGACTTCTTATATCATGGTGCATAAAAACCAGACATACCAGTACTGTGGTAACACACACACCCTGTCTAGGTTCAGTGTAGAAGAACCCAGAAACCAATGCAGTCCCTTCTGAATAATCAGGGGAGCTTTCCTGAGATGTTCTGTAGGAGAATCCAGACAAATGCAGGATACTGCACAATCAGGGTTACTTTGCTGATATGTAAATCCTGTGTGTAGACTTTACCATGCTGGTAAGTTCTACCAGGAGGGACACGCATACTGCACAGTGCATCAGCGGCAACTAGGCTGATGCAGTAAATAACTACAACTTACAAGGTTTCCTAAGGAGAAACAGGCTAATACTTGAACTAAGAAACAACACCGGCGCCTTCAATTGCGAGATCACCTGCTTAATAAAGCAAACACTAATACTTGAAGTGACTGAACATTTCCTTCAATAACCTAGATGAGTCCATCCGTGAAGTGAAGATGTGGAAATGAAGGCCTTTGTGCCTTCATTGAATTTGTTTGTCTTGCTAATTGTTTTTTAAGGATCTCTAAATGTGGTGGAAAGTATTTGGACCTGTTAGCAACCCCACAGTGCCAGCTTGCTCTGGAAGTAATAGTAGCCTGGCCAGGAAATGTCTGACAAGATCAAGGATTACTAGCAGACATGCTGTACAGTCCTTAATCTGACTGACTAGATCATATATTTCATTGCTGAAATTAGGAAAGTCCATCCATGTTAAGTTTCTATGTTCTGGGTAGGAATCAGACTATATTTGAATTATCTAGCTACTTTACTATTCTGGAGCATGGTCTACAAAAACATGAGCACAAAAACACATCTTGTGAACAATCCGATGGTCCCAGTACAACAGCCAAAGTAAAACTATTAGGAATAGGAATGTTGCAGCATGCAATGGACTGAAATGCCATACTGTAACGTTTGGTTAGTTTTTCGGCATTACAAGCAAGTATTAAGCTTATCCGTATTAGAGAACAGCACACAGAGACACACATCACAGCAAGTGAGAGCTTACCTATGGATTTCTGCCTTCTCATTGTGCCACGAGGTACACCCAGAAATGGGCCATGAGGGCTTCCTGGAACAGTGGGCGGCATTACAGCGATACCCTGCCTATCATATATGGACTAAAACAGAATGAGATAAAACACAGCTAATGGAAGGTCCTTTCCAATCACATGGCAAACAACTTTCATAGGATAACATACATTCTCTTTCATATTCTGTTTTTGATATTTAAAATCACTTTACAAGCAGAGGTTTGGCATACAAAGAAGCAAAAATCAACCCCCAGATAAGTCCTTCTCAAACAAGCATGAGAGTTACATGTAAAGCTTTGGTTTACACAGACGCTTTTTAAACTTGCAGTTGTACAACTAAAATACCATGCAATTGTTTGCTTTGCCAGCATCACATGAGTTCAGTCTGTGAATGGAGGAGTTGGATCTATAAGTTATATTATATGTGCTTCATATAGGAAGAAAATTCATAACTGTAATAACCCTTGCATTGCCAGAATTGGGCAGCATTTAAAACAAGGCATACGTCTCCCCTGCAAAGTTGAAAGTCTTGCTGGAGTGGACAACGAATAATTGAAGGTTTGAAGTATATACCTTTCCCGTTTTTTTTGCAAATGAATCACAAAGGTGCACTTATCCTTTAATGGATACCTATACTGAGAGAAATACAGAAGCTGCCCTCCTTCTGAATATACTAGACATGTGCCTGTCTTTGGCTGCAATACTTTCTGGAAAAAGTATACAAAGCAGGAACATCAGACGTTCTAAACTATATATTTATTTCAGGTCAAGTACTCGGGGTACAGAAAGTGCTCAATTACCATGACGGCCGGGGAATTTTTATTCTCAAGTTCAAGGGAGTTCAGAAATGGCAGTTCTCATTCCTCAGTACTGGTTTACTTATAATGTGTAGAGAGAGAGAGAGACTGAGAGGGAGAGAGAGAGAGACTGAGAGGGAGAGAGAGAGAGACTGAGAGGGAGAGACAGAGAGACAGAGAGAGAGAGGGAGGGGGAGAGGGAGAGAGAGAGAATCTGGCCAGTAGGAACACACAGCAATAAAAACTTGACAGGGGTTCTAACCCTTCCCCACTCTATCCAAAACTTGGTTGGCAATGCATACATGAGAACATATTAGCTGTAAAAAATAATACAAAATAAAAAAGTGTTTCTTTACAAAAAAACACAATTATATTAATGTTTAGAAGCTGTATTTCTACACTAATAGAAATAGCATTCTACACTCTACATTCTACACAATTCTACACTAATAAAAAAAAATCTGTTCATTTATTTTCAGGTTGATGCCCTCTTTGTTATGAGCGAGTGTTATATCTATGAACCACTTCACAACTAAGGTTTCCACCTTCCTGAAGACTGTTCAGCTCTTACAATGTAAGCATGAATTTGGTCCACCTTGTCATCTATTAACCTTTTATTGCACAAAGGTTTGTCATGTGTAGTGTCAGTAAAGCAGGGAACGCATTGGCCTCTTCAGCCCGCCTCTCCTACTCACATTGACTTCTGGAGCAGGAGGGAAGCATCTACTCGTTGGGCGCTGCTTAATTGTAGCCACCCTGGAATCTACTGGCACGTTGTCCACTGGTCTTAAAGGCTTGACTATTGGGGCAGAGTCTTCATTTTTATCTGCAATGAGATTACAAGTTCACCTTCCAACAGGACCCTCATGAACAGCTGCAAGATATCAGACTTTGTAAAATGCAGTAGAATAATGAGAGAAACTGAAGGTTCTTTGGTAACAAAGCACTGCAGTAGCATTCTCCAGGCGTGCAAGCTGTAATCTCTGCATGGGGCATGCATGGGTTTGTTGTAAGCCTACATGCATGTGATCTTTACTTAGTGCAACGCGAATTACAATCCTCCTCTTCAAACACTCAACATCTGAAAGATGAACATCTACATAGAAACGGAGAGAAAACCTTTAGCATAAACATTCCTGCTAACGAAGCACAGCCCTCCTGAGATATGCAAGGAGGGTAGAAGGGTCATTTTGAAAGACGTGACGCCTTGTGAGAAAGCTTGTTGCATACAACTCTCGCAATACCCTCTAGAATTACAAGATGTACAACTGAAAGCAACACAGACCTCACAAGGAAATAGATGCATCCGTTATTTTTTTAGCTCAGTGACTTTTTAATTAATTCATCAAAACTGGCAATGCCATATTTCCCCAGCCACAAGACGGTAGACACTAGACTAGATGACAGAAGGATCACTCGAGCTAGTGTTTGCAGTTCCAGCCTTCCAAGTGATACTCTGAAGGCACATGCAATTGTGATTTACGATGCGACTTGTCCATATATGTCACATCTGTTCTCTGAGGATATGTACAGACTGGACTTCCTGGATGAAACTGTTTTAATGACTGGGGGTGGTTATAAAGCCTGGCCAGTTGCCTATCAGAACATTACACGATGCTTGTACAAATGACTGCACAAACTGCATGCAGGGGTACTGTTGATGATAAGCATGCACCAATATCTATACCAGTATCAGTATCGGTGCAGATACTGGGCATTTTGATGAGTATTCGATTCCGGCTCTTTATAATTTTTAAACACAAGTGGCTGCCCTAAGGCCTGCACTTACTGGGGTCCTCACTGCAGCCTTGTGGCGCCTGTTTACAGCGCCGGCTGGCCACCTCCTCCTCTTTCCTGCAGCCACCCACACAGCCCTGTTGGAACCCTGCTGTTGCTCAATCCAGTAGGTTTTAGCAGCAGCATGAGAAAGCCTAATGGCCTCTAGGGGAAGTAGATGTCCCATATGAGGAACATCATTTAGAAAGATTTAAAATAAATAAATAATTGCTCTCCTACTTCCAATTTCCTCTCTACTGACAATTGTAAGACTACCTGAGTTGTCCAAGGCAAATTTAGGGTGCGTAGATTTGTTGCCCTGCGTGCAGTCGTTCTTATTTCAGACCACTCTACCACCAAAATGTTGATCATGCCTACACATCAGACCACTCTAGGCTGTAGAGTATGGGAAGTCCAACACTTTCGTGGGAAGAGGGGCTTTGCTGGTGCTGCCTTTTTTTCTAGTTATCCAGGGGAAACTACAGTCATAAATTAACATTACTACATTAGATTGGGCCACTTCTCCTACCCCACAAATGTTTTGATACAATACCATAAAAATGAAGCACATACTTCATTATGTCCTTGATACGAGATTTTTAGATATCTCATATACCAAGTGCTCTGCTTAGGATCTTTTATGTACAAACTTTTAGACTGTACAATCTGTATATAGTCCACAGGAGAACAATGTGACTGACTAATGTGATCGTCAATATACAGTTCAGTTACATTGGTTTCTGCCTGACTTTGGTTAACAGCGTGTTTATAACCGTTTGTCCTTTACCTGCTTTGACAATTCATCCTCCCTGCAAAGGGTTTGCTGTAAGGTCTGGCGAATGATGGGAAAAGCTGAAGGCGCAAAGAATAAAAAGCAAAGCCTAACTCAGCCAAGCAATGGAATAGAATGGCATCAGTCACTTAGTAGTCAGTCACTTATCTCCAGCCTATTTTGCCAGCATACAATACAGTTGGCCAATACTACATTTCTGGAGGTAAAGACAAGCAGGCATACACTGAAACTTCCATCAGGCAGAACTTTTAAAGACCACTATCAACCCAATGTTCTGCAGGACAAAGTCCTGCTTTTAGGTCAAATTAGACAGGTAAGGAGGGACCAGCAGGTTACATAGTACATAGTTACATAGTTACATAGTATTTGAGGTTGAATAAAGACATTAGTCCATCAAGTCCAACCTATTAGGATCTCATTCTAGGAGTACCTGTACCCCTGTATATTACGGTCCCTTAAGAAATCGTCCAAAAGTTTCTTGAACAATTACACATTTTTTGCTGAAATCACCGCCTGTGGCAGTGAGTTCCAGACCCTACCCGCTCTCACTGTAAAGAACCCCCTTCGCCACGTGTGCTGGAATTTTTTTTCCACCAATTTTAGGTTATGGCCTCTAGTTTTTGTAATGGAGTTAAAAAAGGTGTTATATGGGATTGTTTACTCTATGGTGAACAGCGATAACTATGAGTTTCTCCAATATTTTAGGCTTGTTCTAAGCAGATGCATTTTCCAACACAGGTAAAATGAATGGAAATGAGAAAATATTTTGCTTTCACCAGAACCCATTCCTGTCAATAAGTTGCGGTGCATTTATGGTGTGTTGGAAAAACTTCTTGATTCTGCACTCAAGTAAACCTGAATGAGCTCCTTAAAATCCAGCCACAGTCTTTTTTTTATTTTGGAATAAAGTGGGGAAGAGTTATAGTCGTAATTGGTGAGAGTGCTCTCCGCACACCTTTCAGCAGTCCCGGCCAATAGAGATGAGGTGCTTGCAGTAACTCCCACGGATGGCACCGTGTAATGCACAAAGTAGAAAGAATAGGTTACCAGCACTCAAAATGATTTCAAATAAAGGGAAGAGTTATAGAACATCTAGCAGGTTTATTGATGTCTGTGACTCCATCGGGGAGATTTCCCCTCACAAGGTGCCTCAATGGCACCCCTGTAACTCCAGAACAAGCAATGAGAATGGTGGTCAACGGGACAGGAAGACACACACGGGCAATAAAACCCAATCAAGCTTCTACTCCTAAAAATACATTTTGTTGTTGTCTCTGTCCCTTGTGGAGAGTTTTCTCTTCACTTTCTATCCCTCTGATTCCCTCTCAGTAAAACAAGACATGTGAGAAAATTAAATGGGGACACAAACTGCAATAAAAATTGGCAGAGTCTCTAACTCTACCCTACTCTATTAAAAAAAGGCTGTTGTTCAGCTTTAAAAAATGCAACACAGTGTGTCTGAAAATGAATTCTAATGTGTGATTCTACTTGTGTTTTCAAGCACATCTGTTGATAACAGGCCTGTATTTGCGGGGCTGCCCTAGTGTCACTACATCTGGTTCCCATCTATTATGAATTTGTGAATCACGGCTATATGGTGAGGTTACTTAGGTTGTCCAAATACAGGAAGAGTTTTCAAACACTAGACAACGATGGGTGTACGGGAGGTAAGGAAATAGTTGTCATCTAGTTTCTCAGAGATTGTCAGCTAAATTCTTCACAGTCTGATCATCGAATTGCATGGTGCATGGTTAATTGTTACAATGATGCCCAAATCTATCACATCACTTCAACTGTATGGCTGCTCACTGCTGTGATTGGCTGTCTGCCCCATAACAAGAGCCCAAATGAACAGCTACACTGAATGTCACCGGTAATCAGACGGAATACACATCATAATGTATCAATTTCATGTGTATTAATTAAACTTACTGCACTCATTTTATATGTGTAAAGCAGCCAAACATTTTTTTCTGCTTTACCTCTTTTTCTGGGTCACAGGAATACATTTAATAATGTACTCAAGTAGCATATAGCATGCTACTGCCGGCTATATGCTGACATAGCAGAGCCGCACTATGGCCGGGAAGTATCCCAACAATATTGTCCAGATCCACCCGGCTGTCCGAGTGACAGCTGGCTCCACTTTTCTGGAGCCAGAGCCAGCTTTGCCCGCCCCCTCCCCTTCCTGTAGCTCCAATGAGACTTGGAGGAACAGAGAGGGAAGGGGGGAAACCGGGGAGGGGTGACTGATATCTGCAGGGAGAAGACACTGAGGTGAGTTACATGATCACTCAGCTCTTGGTATAAAGCCGGCATGTGACAGCTGCAGTGTCCCACGTCGGCTGTAAGTATTGGGAAGAGTACATTTTACTCTCCCAATACTTCTCCTTAAACCAGTATGTAAGGGCTGACCTTACATACTGGTTGTGAAGTGAATTAAAGAAATGTAACCTTTGGCGTGAAATGTAAAGCGAGTTGAAGTGAACCTGTGTTTACTTCAAACATCCAATCATGTGCAAAGAAATCTGAAAACTAAAGCTTTGTCACATTTGAGGGGTTTGATAGTTCATGTGAAGAGAGATTAGTTTCATTTCATTATTCGCTTTAGTAAAGCGGGCCCTCAAGAGTATAAACTCCAAAACTACTGTTTTAAGTTTTGAAGCATTTCAGCAGAAGCAGGCCATCTCTGAATATTCAGTACAAATTGAATATTTCTTTACACATGGAAAAGAGACTGTGAAACAAAATGCTATGCTCAGATGACAGCAGAAACTGATGACGCCAATATGAACATCCATCTAGAGAGCCCCCGAGAACAAATGACTAGTGCATAACGGGGCTAATTCAATCCTTCCACATGTGAATCAATCACCCATCCTGGGAATAAACCACAATCCCCAGTGAAACATTTGTGTCTTACCGAGCAGGCTGGAGAGTTCAGTAACCTCCTTTCCACGGCACAGAAGGTAATCTCCCACTAGACAATATATTACTCTGATGTATCTGTGGATTACATGTATCTGATGCTGGGCTTATTGTGATCATTGATATTGGAGCTTGCTGTGAGTGATGGGAATCCTGCCTTACATAGTTCAAATAGTATATGTCTGCAGATCTTTATTTGCCTTCTGTGTATGCCTTTCAGTGTATTTTACCGATTTGCTAATGAGATTGACTTTAAAGTGAACCTTTCACAACCCTGGGCAAGTCAGACTGAGCATATGGTGGAAAAATACACATACAGAGGCAACCTGTAGATCCAGGTATATAGGCAGCTGAAATCAGGACACTATCTGCAAGGAGTTTGAATGTTCTCTCTGTGCTTGCGTGGGTTTACTCCGGTTTCCTCCCACACTCCAAAGACATGCTGGAAGGTTAATTGGCTCCTGTCTAAATTGTCCCTGTATGTATGTATGTGAGATAGGGACATTAGATTGTAAGCTCCCTGAGGACAGGGACTGATGTGAATGTGCACTATGTAAAGTGTGTAATTACATTTTTCTTATAAAAAAAAAAGACATTGTGCCTTGGAACAACGTCACTTCTCAGGACTCCTGATCTGCAAGTTGTCTGCCACATTATAGCTGATGGCACACTAGCAGTCCTACCTCTGGTGGCAAAAATCACCAAAGTACTACACCGTATATGTTATTCCCTCGTTGGCTGAAACAATGCAGATTCTCAATCACTTCTGAGGGAGCAGTGACATTAATAACATTGGTCCAGCCAGCAAGGGAGTGACATCACAAGAAAAGCTGTGTAGACTTTTAGCAATTCTGCCATTGACAATTTGTTCCCAGCAACAGAATCACTAAAGTGGCATGGCTCTAAAGGAGTAGATGACAGCTCTTCCAGAATTATACCATTTATTGTTACCAAGGATCCTAAACTGCATAAGATTTTGGGCAAAGGTGCTAAGCAAAGCCGAGAGGGCAGAGCTACTCTCAAATTTTACAGGACAATTCGAGATTTGCAAATCACGGCCATTTTTCTGGATCTGCTGATCAATTTGGTTTTCCTCTGAAGGTAACCTCTGATCCATGTATTTTTCATCATAAGCTCAGTTAGAATTGGGGAGGTGATAGGGTTACTTTACAGCATGAATAGGGGCTTCATGGAAGGGCAGAATCTGCGATGGCATATGTACATTTCTGGTTCTATAGATAGAATTGTGTTCTAGAAATATTTAGACACTCTGAAAATAATGTAAAATGTGAATTACTATCTGATCAAATGACGCACTAACTTTATGACAACAAAATCCATATCTGCCATAGGGGAAGTTCTGTGAGCAGCAACCGGAGCAAAAGCGTGAGATATATATGTTATGTGAGATAGATATATATATCTATATATCTACCACACATGTCTAACCCCCCCCCCTTTAAAGTGGAAGTCCAAAAAATGGCTAAAACATAGCTTTAATACTTTAATATAAATTTTCACTGATTTACCCAACAAAGAAGTGATAATTGTCATCTCTCCAGCTTCATTCTGCTTACTAGTTTTGCGTAAAACCCAAAGCCAGCTTGACGAAATGTAATAGTTTATCTGGCATTTCATTTAAGGCCAAGTTCACACTTGGGCGTTCCGTGACCGCGCAGCAATCGTGCACAAAACCACGTGGTCACGGAATCGCACACCACCGCTAATTGCGCTGGCAGTGCCATTAATTTCTAATGGCACCCCAGTCGTGCCAGGCAGATCGCGCGGCTTCCCGCCGCGATACCACCCGTGCAATCGCACACGATCGTGGTTCAAAAAAGGATATCTGAACCCAGCCTTAAAATGAACTTGTGTTTTGTTTTGACTAATGTAGGCAAAGGTTAGAATGTTTCAGTTTAACTGCTGTATCCCCTTTGGCTAGAGTTCCCTTCACTTCCTACTCCAAAGGAACAACAGGAAGTAAGGGAAAATCCCACATATAGTCTTCCTCATGACATGTGTTCCCACTGGGATATTACCTTCACCTCCTGTTCTAGTAACAACTCTCACATTTTGGATTTTCTCTACATTCTGTTGCAACTTTGGGATAGGAAGTGATGGGAAATCTCCCTAACTGGGGCACAGACATAGAAGCCTGACCAAAGTTATAACTCTCCCCGCTCTAAAAACCTGAAATTTCACTTTATTGCAAACAAACGTTACTACTAGCACATGTAGGCCCAGACACGGCACAAAAGGCGTGTGCTGTATGGGAATGACCACAGCTTTTTATTGTATAAATAAATCTGCACCTACACTTTTCAATCATCAATAGAGGCAAACCATTTCTTCATATGTCTTACATCAGCAATATCTGCCCAGCTCCTGCCATACAACAAAACAAAGCTTAGCCGCCATTTATTTCTGCAGAGGACGTGGTATCTTTGTTGGAAACATACCCCTGGGCAGAGCAAGCACTGAGAAATGTGAATTTCCTATTTTTCCTTTTTGACTGTATATATATCAACCTGAAAAAATATGAATTATCTGAAAACTGTGAGAAGCAAGACACAAAAGACAACAATATAATAGATTAGCAATATCCCAATGGCCGGGGCTCTGAGACCCGATGGGTATTTCCTATGGGAAAGGGACAAAATGTTAGATTAATAGACAAAAAAGTGACATTTTTCCCCTTACCCTTCTTTTTCCGTACAGAAGCTTGCAAGTAAAAAGAGAGAGCAATTGTCAAATTGGAATGAAGTAATATCAACACAAAAGGTTTGTACAGCTCACGTTTGTAATGTTTTGTACAACCGTCAATAATAACTTAGCAGTAATAAGAATAGAAGACGTTCAACTCTCAGTTTTTCGGCGTACAAAGTTTTGCTCATTCGCGGTTATGCACAAAAATTCCCATTGTAAAGTATATTAATGTGCGACTGAACCGACAAAGATTTCCAGTAAAAGTTTACTTCATTCTGTCTGTTTTGGTCTTTAACATTAGTTTTAAAGGTTGAACCTGAGCACATATGGGAGAAACCAAAATGCTGCAAATGAGGTGTATATGTGTGGTTTTTGTTTTGTAATAATGAAGGTTTTAGTGCATATTTTAGAAAGGTGATATAAAGCTTTGTCCATATGTTAGTTACTAGCTAAACCACACTCAGGATTATTTTGCATATAAGCAATTTTAAAAAGGAAAGAGTTTGGTGTCACTCACAATGATGATCTGAGAGCTTGAATAACAGTTGAGCCTGCCACACCATATTGCTATGGTGATAATCAATCAGTAAAGGGGCATACGGCGCCCGAGCAGGCCTTAAAGTGAACCTGAGGCCAGACCATGGACATTCAAACAATTACACATGCATAACTAGCAATAGATGAGCGTTAAAACAAACCCTCACTGACTTCTGTACCTAAAGGCCTTATGGAGTAATTCATCCTCAAAGTCCACAGCAGAAGCAGTGAAATGGTTCAAGCCCTTCTCTCTGTAGCTCAGTTCACCCTGCTGTCCCAGAAAATCTGCACTGTGTTTACATTAGAATATTGTGAATGAGGACCAGGGAAGCGGAGATGCTAAAAAAAAAACTAAACCCGGGGGACTTCAGTGCTTCTCTTGTGAATTTTTACAAAAGAATTGCTCCTCAGTGCCTGCAGCTACCGAGGCTAGCAAGGGCTTCTTTTAAAGCTCTTTTATAACATGTTAAGAATAGGCAAATCCATGAATGTCCATAACCTGGCCACAGATTAATTTTAAAGGAGAACTATGAGATGAGTGAAAATCAAGTTCAAGCCGACGTGTGGCAATGAAACTGTCATGCGTCGGCTCAATAGATCGGGAAGTGAGTGAACACATACCATCGCTCGCTCACTTCTCGATCATCTCCCTGCAGAGAGCGGTGACTGCAAGTCACCGATCCCTGCAGGGATTCCCCCCCTCCCCGCTCCGATCCTCCAGCGCTGACTGGGGGAACGGATGGGGGAGGGGGTGGGTACACTGGCTCTGCCTCTAGATAGGCAGAGCACTCTGTCACTCACGCAGCTGGGTGGATCTCAACAGCATTGTCGAGATCCGTTCCGGCTGCGGCGGTCTCAGTATACCGTGAGCTATATATAGCTCGCTATATACCGAGCTTTGGGTCACGGGAGGATGCTAGTATATGTCTTCCCGTGACCCTGAGGAGAACTATGGGGAAAAATACTTACCCCAAAGTTCTCTTTTAAGAAGAATTTAAATATT